TATGAATCTACGAAATCACTTTGTTAATGTAGTACGAATCTACGAAATCTACAAAACATCAAAAGGAAAATTTGTCCAATCTTCGAATATAAAACATGAACCAAACAATAAGAGAGAATTATTAATATACAAACGAAACTTCAAAATAAGAACAATTATAAGAAAAAAGAGAAACATACGAAGAACAAAAAAATAGGAAAAAGAAAACATACCTTGACGAATCTGAAAAAAAAAACAGAAAAAAAATCATTACAAATCGTTATTAATATTATGTACGATTACATTAGGAATTATCATACATATACAAATAACTTATCAGAACAATTGAAACAAAACAATTAAAAGCTGTTTAACACGCTTCAGTCGTGTCTGTCCAGACGACGTTGAGAAAACTACTTTGCATGGCTTTTTAAGCTTTGGGCAATGTATGTTAAACAGTGTTTCCGTCTTTGACATCTGATGAAGCTCTACGGTAGGTTTTGGGATTATCTAAAGAAAAAAAAATTGTCAGATAGCATTATCATTTAAAACAAATTTTTAAAACAAAGATTGTGTTTAACCTGTCATCTTACCAAATAGGAAAATATGTGTGTTTTCTTGAGCTTGATCTTAAACGTCCAGAAGAAGACGCAAAAGAGCCTGAGGAACCAACATGAACACCCTTCGGTTCTGTCCTTGTCAATATGGTGGACAGAATGCTGTGAAAGAATCGATAGAACTCATGAGGCGTAATCTGAAGTCTGTCTGATCCACCACCCGTTGGATATCGACAAAAGACACTTGCAGAGTCTTTTACTTTACTTAAGATCGCAACCTTTATTGCAACTCCTTCAACATAATCTGACATGACCTCAACAAACTCATACTGAGAACCAGAAGTACAATTCAAGTTCTATTTTCTTAATCGAGCCCATGTTTCTCCTCTTCTTGGGTATACACTGATAGAATCTTTCATGCTTCCTATTCTACAGTGGATCAGATGAGAGAACGTTGGAGTTTCACTTGTCTCCTCATCTCCAGTAAGTTCGGAATTGGTTCCAAGTTCAAACTTACCAACAGTGAGAGGCAACATATTACGAACCTGTTGTTTTGCTATCTCATCATCTGCTTTAGCCTCTAGCCATGTTAGTTTAAGCATGAAACCAACTTTTTTCTTTATGACTGTTCTGATGAGAGCATAATGTCGAGGCAGCCCCATATGGTCATATATCGCTCAGATCTAGCCAGCTTTAAAACATCTCTTTTCCTTCGACATCTCAAAAATCTCTACCTCTGATGCACTCCTTGAACTTGAACCCTTCGCTGCATTGCATGCACCAGAATCATGCGACTTCTTTTTGAAATCAAACATTTCAACACTTTATGCATCCTCTTCTTTATTGACATCATTCTCCAGCTGCTTCGATGCTGTCTTGTCCAAAAGAACCCTCTTAGCTTCACCAATCAATTTGAAAGCAGATTCATCTCCAGGGAATTTGTTCTTGTCGGGATGGAGATGAAGCGCAAGCTTCTTGTACTGTTTCTTGATGGTACTTTCATCTGCATCAGGCTCAACTTGGAGAATCTTATACCAATCAAATCTCATCTCCAGATTTCTCCAACGCGGCACAATGCGCATGACACACCCTTATCACGTGACCAATATCCTCCAAACTTTCATCCATTTCCTGAGCCCTAATTGCAAGCCTACGAGCATTTGAATCACATAACAGAGAATTGTATAAATATGTATAACACAATTAAACATCACAAAACCAATGTAACCATGAAAACGCAGAGAAGCTATGAACAGGATAACATCTTCTCCACAATAGAAAATTCAAACTAAACTAAACCCACCTAACACCTTTCTCCTTGATGAATGATTTGATTAACAAAGAGAAATTTGATTTACAAACCTGCGACTCCGGTGGATTCGTGTCTCCGGTGAGTTCTGTCTCCGGCGAATTCCGTTTCTGGTGGGTTCGACGAGAAGCGTCAAGAAAAGCTCAAAGGCAACTTTTCCCCAATTTTCTGAATCTGACTTCGATACATATTCTCAACCCTACATCCCAAAACGACATCGTTTTTCTACTAAAAAAAAAAAAAATAGGGGTCTTAACGGGCTCATTTTCATTAAACAGGCCCGATTAAATCCGTTAATTTTGGGGTCCGAATTAACATGACTAGTCTGATTCGGAAGTCTAAAGAAGCATCAATTACTTGAAGCCGCACGTTCCTCATCCCTATGAAAATCTGACATTTATAGCTTTCACATCTGACACGTGTCTTGATCTTCTTCTTCACCTTTCACTTTCACTTATCAAGTAGTAGTAATTTTCACTCTTATCCTCTTCACTCGCACGTTCTTTTTTGTCTTTGCGTTTTTTGTTTCATTGACACGTTTACTGATTTTTCTTGTCAAAATCATACTATTCAAATTTCAAATCATCCCTAACAAAAAGATAAAAATGAGTTGCAATAAAAGTTACTGCAAATTATTAACTGGAAAATAAAATAAAATAAAAATTTAGATCGTAACGAAAACAGTTATAAGGTCGTACGAACGCCATAGACTTCAATTTCCATTTTCCCCAATCTTCTTCAAACACATTTGTTTCGCTCCTCCTCTCGAACTCAGATGAGTAACACCATCGCTTTGTCACCGGCGATTGTCTCCGCCGTTCGTCCTCCGTCCTCTCACGACTGTCTCTCCATTTCCGCCGCTGCTTCTACCACTAGCTCCATCTCTCTCAAATCTTGCATCGCCGCACCTCTCTCGCTTTTCGTCTCTCAATCTCGAATCAAACGCGCGAGCTCGAGAACAACTCCGAGGACGAAGATTCGATGCGATGTAGCTGTAAAATCCGCGGATTCGGTTAACACAGAGGCCGATCCTTCGTCTTCGCCGTCATCGGAGGCGGAGATCGAAGCGGAAGCGTTGGCGAAGGTAGGATCTAGGGTTAGGGTAACTTCGCCGTTGAAGGTTTATCATGTAAATCGTGTCCCTGAGGTTGAATTGGAAGGTATGGAAGGTAAACTCAAAGATTACGTCGCCGTCTGGAAAGGGAAACGAATATCAGCTAATCTTCCGTATAAAGTGGAGTTCTTCAAAGAGATTGAAGGTCGTGGTCCTGTCAAATTCGTTGCACATCTCAAGGAAGACGAGTTCGAGTTTATAGATCCGTGATAAGATCAAACAAAGGCAAATTCTTTTTCTCTCTTCTCTTTCTCAGTCTCTTTTGTTGTGTTCACTGATATATCTGGGAATGGACAATTCGTTGTGAATGATTTGTATGTACTACTGATGTTATACCTTTAGAAATCATATACATAAGCTCTTTACTTCAGTCCCCATTGATGTTTGATTCATCCACTGCCTTAGTCTTGTTATTGATTTCTCACTGTTAGCATTGATAGATGCATACTTCATCTTTATACTGAGGAAGAACCGAAAAGTTGGATCTTGATGTGGACTCTTTGATTCACAAGGGTGATTCAGGCTGAGATAGATGTATACTTCATCTTATAGTGGAGGAAACGAGAAGTTGGATCTTGATATGGATGATTGATTCATAAGGTTGACTCAGGCTCGATTCTTTCATATGAAGATCAAGATTCAACTAGAGATAAACACTTAGTTACTTAGATTTGGAGTTTGCAATTGAGACTAGTGCATCATTTGTAGTGTCTGGAAACGAAAAGGTTGGATCTTGATCACACTGATTCTACTAGATTGAGTTAGCACTGTAGACTAACATAATATAATTGTAAGTATCATGTTCTTAAAAGGGTCTCGCATCCAGCGTGTGTAGTGGATATATAGTGTGGATTGTACTTGCAGGAAGGAGTTTGGAGGAAACAGTTTCGTAGGTATTCAGATGATTTTCTGATGCAAATCTCTGTTGTCTGTCTCTGTTTGGTTCAGTTGTCTTCAGCATATGAATGTTTGGTTTTCTAGTGTAGTATGTAGAAGAGAGATTTGTAGATAAGTAAGACTCGTCGTCGTCGTGGTAATGGTAATGATCATATTTATCATGCTGCGAATTGTATGGTGGTTGCATTTGTTCTATTGTGGATAGAGGAGAATGCAATCTAGATTTATTGTTCTTGAGCAAGTCGTATTCAATCACGTTTGATCTACAAGATGTTGTTTTCAGATGGTTTTTAGCCGTCTTGAGCAAGCTGTATTCAACTGCCGATTTAAAAATCGTCTTTACCCGTAGGTTCCATCGATTCGTTTGATTAATATCGAGGGGGCGGTTTAACTTTGAAACGTCTCAAACTGAATTTCCAATCGATATCTAAGTTTATTTTCATACATATCCTGCTTATCGAAGTTATGTAGTTTCTTAATTCTTATTGTACTTGATAGCATTCCTGTCGTTTTCGTTTGAGAGTCGGATTCTCTGACCAAGGATTCCGACGAACATCGGTATGCTATTCTCTTAAGCTTGAAAGACTAGTCGAACACACGCAACGATCTTTGACCCTGGTCAAATTTAGATGGAGTGAAGTAAACAAGTCATCTAGAAAAGGTGACCATTTTTCTTATGCTACCATAAAGTTTGTCATTATTGTGTATACTCGAAGGTAAAAGAAAAACGTAGTAATATGTTTGAGTTCGTGAAGAATCTTAACGTACTCACACGTCCATGTATCACGTCTTCCAACGTACTAACCCATTCAACGTTTATATATATAAAAATTATCAATTGGAGTGGATGGAGATTCGAGCTTCAAATAACAAAAAGAAATTGATGAAATAATTGTGATTACAAAACTCAGATTTAGTGACAGCACATCTAGGCCAGGGACAGGGCAGACGATGGTGGCAATGATTGATTTAACTTTTTAAATTCGGGAGTGCACTTTTCAAAAGCAAAGCACCAGCCAATTACTATTAAGAGGGACAGTTAATTTAAAGTCAAAACGCTTATACTCCCGTAATTGTAGGTTTCTTTTCTTTTGGCTAATCTTCAGCTCTAGAATGATTACGAAAACTGAATTGGTAGAGAGATTGAATTGGACTCCTGATCATATCATTACTATTAAGTTAAAAGATTAGCCAGAATTTTTTAAAATAATTAACTTTCATGTCACTATAAAAGAACTAGCATATATGTTAGGAGAGGTTTTGTATTCGTTAATAAAGAGTTACCACGTTAGGTTATGTAACGTCGATTTTTCGTTTTAAGAATAGACTTGGCCTCTTCTCGGATGTGTGTGACATAATAGGTAAGTGTTAATCTCACCTACCATCATCCGGAAACAATACTAATCGCTACACGGAAAAGGTAAGCAATGTGACCATGTGTAAGACTGGAAGGGACGAGAGACACAAAACATTATGTAGATGCAAGTAATATGACTCCTCTAATGAAATGTTAATGTCATTTAAATAAATTTGCAACAGTAAGCCAGGTATGGGTGGGGGAGAAGGGACTACCTGCTATTTTAATTTTTTAAACCCATCATTTGATTTGAAATTCTTTTATCAATTAAAATATGGGTT